TAGGCATGGGCGGGTAATGCTAGCATTATGGCTGGCATTATAGTCCCTTTTTTCCAGGTGGCATAATGCTGGCATTATAACACCATTTCGCATGCAAAATTGGCATTACAAGCATAATTGCCGGTCGATAACGGTGTCATGCATGAAGCTGGCTAGGTCCAGTTCGGAAAATCGTGCATCTGAACCCGTCCTGCTTCGTCCGGAGAATTGACATTGCAAATTAACCTTCTCAGTGGATTGTTTCAGACAACATGCTCACTGCTGTTCAAGCTTTTTTCTTCTACGCTTTGCCTTGATCCAAGACGGCCTTCTTAAATCGACTTTTCCAACTTTCAAACTGGCATTATGGAGTAGGGTGAGCATTATAAGTGGCATTATATCCTCATATCATGAGCATTGCCTTTAGCATTATCGCAGCAAATAACTAACATTACCCGCCCATCTCGTGGATAAGTCACAAGATGGCAAGTTGGCAACTCTATGATGCAGATTTACACGAAGCCTTTTGTACGGGGCTACGGGCACATTTATTGTCATAAATAAAGCAATACAATCATTTCAAATGGCGAACGGTACTATTCGGCCAATAAAATGTAAGGAACTCTGTGGTGTGGCTGTGGCTGTTGGTGTGTGTAATGGCTACCGAGGGTAGCAGTGAGTCGGCTGTGAGAGCACATGGAGGAGAGGAGAGGAAGAGTTCCTTACAATACAATCATGTCATTAAGATTACAAAAGATGACGAAAATGATAAAGTAATAGTGTTTGCGTTCCGGCAGATGCAATGATTACCCCTGAGCCTGTGCCTCTCTTGGCTGAGGTTGAGCAAGCCATATTGTCCCTGAAGAAGAGGAAAGCCCCTGGACTTGATGGGATCGTGGCGGAACTGATTCAGCATGCATCCCCAGTTTGTGTTCTATTCCTACATAAACTTTGTTTGGAGATTTGGAAAACAGGGAGATGGCCAAAAGCGTGGAAACGTCAAGAAATCGTCATGCTACCCAAATTCTTGACCGAATATCGAGGCTGCAATCACCGTTTGTTGTCTTCCAGGATCCCAGATACTTGAACCCAGGTACTTGAAACTGCTCACCTCTGCGTTCTCCATCGACCACAAGTGGCGTTGGAGCAGTATCGTTTGCACCAGCAGTACAGGTTCCGATATGCATGATCTTGGTTTTGGACAGATTCAGTGACAGGCCCTTCTCTCAGCATTGGTGAGGGTAGACACTTCTGATGGATGTGCACACAATCCCGTGTCATCTGCATATCGTAGGTTCGACAGCTGGCGTCCTCCGATTCTCACACCGACACTGTCCACATCACCAACACGCATAACACTCTCAGTATACAGGCTAAATAGATGTGGGGACAAAATACAGCCCTGCCCAACACCCTTCTTGATGGCGAACTCTGGCGAAAGAGCGGATGCTGTAGTTAGTTGACAACTGGAAAGACCACAACATCTCCAGACAGCTGAAAATCCGGATAATGCATGCCCTTGTGTGGTCTGTCCTGCTGTATGGAGCTGAGAGTTGGACTCTGCGGAAGACAGATGAACGACGAATACAGGCAGCAGAAATGTGGTGCTACCGACGTCTGCTCAGAGTATCCTGGATGGAGAAGCGCACAAATGAAAGTATCCTGGTGGAGTTGGGAGTACAGAGACAGCTGCTAGCCAGGGTCAAGATACGCAAACTGACCTATTTCGGGCACACATGCCGCCCATCTGGCTGCGAGCTTGTACGTGACGTGATGTTTGGTGTCGTGGATGGTAAGAGAAAGCGTGGTCGTCCGAAGATTTCCTTTGCTGACAATATCGTTTCGTGGTCTGGTATGTCTCGCATGAGAATTGCCAATTGGCATCTGACAGAGATGCCTGGCAGTCACATTGTGCATCTACTGCTTACACAGCTGCATAATGCCGTTTATTAGGCCAAACTAAAGAAGGTGTGTGGTTCGACTAACATGGACATTTTTTTTACGGGCGGGCGGGCGGATTTTTTTTTTTTTAATATATTTTTTAGTACATGTAAATACACTGTATACCATGGTATACGCGTATCGAGTAGACTCTACTACCAGCACAAGGCAGCAGTCGTACCACTCACTGCACTGCACTGCAGTACAACTACAAGCCAAGTCCAAAAGGAGCCGCCTGCGTCCGCAGACTCACGCCGCACAGCACGTAGACGTGGACGTGTTCAGTCCACGTACGTCAGTCACACGACAGCCCGCCGAAAAAAAGTTACGGTCGGGCTGAAATTGTACGGTCGGTCGGGTGAGTCGAACCACACACCTTCTTTAGTTTGGCCTTATTTTTATTTTTTATTTGTAATGAATATAACTAAATGCGCACTCATATCACAACCATGGGGACGAATCATGTACATGTATTCCAGAACGTTTTCTTGTCACAATTATCAATGGAATTCGTGACTAAAGAGAATGATGAAACTACAATAGGATTTATACACTTGGAGTGGAACAGCGAGGATACAAGCATAGTAAGAAGACGCTACTCCAGTAAATTCGCACTCACACACACTTGCACATGCATGTCCATTGTCACACTGCACTTGCTGAATTTCCTATCATTTCTCACCTCACCTATAGTTTATTACCTGTGCACATTGTTCCTAGGTTTGTGCTATTTTTCTTACTATGCTTGTATCCTCGCTGTTCCACTCCAAGTGTATAAATCCTATTGTAGTTTCATCATTCTCTTTAGTCACGAATTCCATTGATAATTGTGACAAGAAAACGTTCTGGAATACATGTACATGATTCGTCCCCATGGTTGTGATATGAGTGCGCATTTAGTTATATTCATTGCATTATTAAGATTATTGTCTCCACGTCGCCTTTTTACATTTTTTATTTGACTATTATTATTTTTTTGGCAACGCAGATTCTGCATGCTGTGTTTTGAGTCGTACTACAAATACACAACACGCTCGGATTTAGTGCACACCTGCGTACAGGCATGCAGACGGACAGACACACGCACACACACACTATATACCATGTACCATGTACAGTATACGCCCGTCACAAGAGAGCACGCAAATCAGCAAATGCACTGGATGTGCACCACAGATTTTCTCCTATAGCAACGGTAGCGGACAAGATCTGGATGAGACAGACCAGATCAAGACTAGCGCCACACACACCAGGGGCGTACGCCGCTCGCCTCCAGGAGTGGTTCCCATGCCAACTGATGAACCAACATTCCACACAATTGAAGTGCTGTTTTCGTATCCCGCGGAGTTTCTGCACATTCTCCTCAGACTGGGTGAAATTAACATCCACAAGCTGCTGGACGATGTCATTGCTACGCATTTTTGATTTTAAAAGACTGAACCTTTCCCCGTTTTATGGATGTTTTGTTCAGCATGACGATTGCATGCAGTCTTGAAAGCTGCCTAAGTTTCGAATCATCTGGAGCAAACATCACACAGGGCAAGCAGAAGCCACCATTGCATGCCTGTCAAAAGACTACCCAGGGTAATTCCTCTAACAAGGATAGTTGAAAGTGGCGCTGTTTGCCATCCATCTGGACACGCACAGGAAATGAAATCCTTCGCCTTCGGTGGCGCACAATGATTGTCGATGACGGAAATCTTTTCCGTGTCCGGCAAATGTCGGGGGACTGGATTCCATTGTAGACGTCGACTTTCAGAATATCCCTTCCAACACACTCCCATGTCACTGAAGTAAGTTTTGGATGATCGAGCAGCTTCCAACAACGGTCGCTCTACAGCTTCGCCGACGATTTCTTCCTCAGCGCTGCTCGTTGCATGCAGTCTTCGCTTGCAAGTCAGGTGCCGCGGTCTGCATTCTCACCTATCTCTTGACCTTCGCCACTAGCACTGGCTACACTCTTTGCCTGCTGCTCAAAATAGCTCTGAATAGAGCGCTGGCCCTCTGGATGTCGACGCTTCATTTTTCCTTTCCACAAAGCGAAAGCATCGTTCAAAACACGACGAACTTTGTCAAAACAAACTGCAACAGAAAATTCGACTCGGAGATCGAGGCGATGTAGAGACTTTGTTGAACCCAGCTCAGTAGGCTGTGTCCCAGCACCGCTTTCACACCTGGGCTAGTCATGTCACCATCCTCGACCTCGGACCGTCTGGCCATCAGGCGCGGACTCCAGGCGCTAGGCATGCACTGCACAGCTGCATGCACTTACTTGCACTGCGAGCGCAGGGCCTGAAAAGGCTGGATCAAAAATATCCGTACTAATATCGAATTTTTTTTACTGGTTCCCGGGCATCCCGGGAACCGCCCTATGTACGCCCCTGCACACACCCACACCCGTACACACCCACCCACATACTTGTACTTGTTCACTGCCAAAACTGGTCACGTGGGCTCTCCGGGAGAGAGACTGAAAAGGAATCTTGGAAAGATGACTCAAAAGGCTCAACGGCCAACACCCCCTAAAATCCCCAACCTTGTAAACTTGGACTTGGAAACGATCCCACTTATGGGCTCACCACACCACGGTAAGAGGGTGAGGACAAGGTGCAGAAAAAGAATTGACGGCGTCAGGGTATCCGTCCTGGGATCCAACTGCAGTTACCCCTGCCCCCAGTGAAGGTAATACTTGCTACTAGTGTGGGTGGCTAAATCAGAGTGGATCTTATAAGCTTCACTAGCACCATTGATTACACCAGAGTTTATCTAGCCAGAAGCAGTCCATGGTTAACAGGTATGTATACTTCAAATAGAAAGTATACGAACCCTGAAATCAACACAGGTAGCAGGTACAACAATAGACCTTCAAGCAGGTGAGCCCGTTGGCAACAGACCCAACACTTTCTGGCACAAGTGTACCCACCAACCGAACTAGCTGGCAACGCACGCACACACATACACGCGCGCGCACACACACACACACACGCGCACACACACACACACACGCGCGCGCACACACACACACACACACACACACACACACACACACACACACACAGAGCAGTCCGGAAGACCAGAGATTGTTTACAACGTGCAAAGTCACTATGGTCGAGGCAGAGACTAAAATACATGAAAAATCAAACACATCGGAAAAGAACAATCTTCCACAGACTGTGTAGAAGAACATAAATATATTTAGGAGCACAGTAATAGCACAGTAATAAATAACTTGTATATAAATTCTGATTTACATGTTCGCTGAACAAGTCAAATTAAGCGCGTGTTGGTTATAGAGCCTGTCAGATAGCGAGATGACAAAGACTAGAAGAATATAATGTACACTGAATATCCATCGGTGCTTCGGACATGGGCACAGGTCATTCGGTTTGCACGGCGTTGCACGCACACACATACACATACACACAAAAACCTATTAAAACAAGCATACACATATCTACACACATGCGCGCCCACATGCTCCTATCTCCCTCTTGCACATGCATGCATGCACACGCACGGACACACACACACACACATACACACACATGCAAGCACACGTCACACCCAAGCATGCGCATACACGAGTGCAGACAAGCACGCGTTTGAACGCACAGGCAGCACAGGTCAAATCATGCCCGCACACGACTGCCTTGCCATGCAAACTCTCTGCGATGCACACACGCATACACACACTTACGCGAACATGCACACCCGTACGCGAACATGCACACCCTTACGCGCACATGCATACACATACACACACACACACACACACACACACACACACACACACACACACACACACACGCACACAGGCACACTCCAATGGGATCATAGCAGATGGCGAGACGGTTCCTTTTTTCTACTTCTGCTGTGTAGCGTTTTGGTTGCGAACAGGTGCTGTAGTGGGACGTTGATCTTGTCAGTAGGGGTGCGGTTGTGTGACAAGTCTCGTCAGGTAGTGCTCTTGTGTGACAAGTGCGCTGTTGTGGAAAAGGTAACTGTTGATCTTGTCAGCTAGTGCTGTCAGTACGACAAGCATGCTGTACAAGAGGCTGTCCACAACCTCAGAGCGTTCTGAAGTTTCATTCATCCCCAGTGATGTGTGAGCAGTGCCTGTGGCTGTGACTCACGTCAGCGGTCACTCACCGCTCTAGGGACGAATGGGTATTGTTAGATGGGGCACGGCAGGCCGGGCACCATGCCAGCTGTGCAGTATCCCGCACCGGCGGCAACAGGGCCGGGAAATGCCTGTGGCAGCACCGGTGGTGGAGGTGGCGGGGGCAGAGACATGCCCGGTTGAGTGAGCACCATAGCGGGCATGGCGTGCAGTGCATGTATTGCCTGCGCTGCTTGAGCCTGCGGCATCACTTGAGCCTGGTGCAAATGCTGCACTGCGGACATCGGCATTGGTACCGCAGCTATATGTTGGCTGTGCTGCAGCTGTGCCACTGACGTTGCTCCTGCAGCTGATATTGGTAGGTAGGCAGCAGTTTGATCCACTACATCCACCGGCATGGCGGCTGTATAATACTCTACAGCTGCTGGCTGTACTTGGCCGCCGTGAGGCTGCTGCTGCTGCTGCTGCTGCTGCTGTTGACAGGCAATGTACTGCTGACCCTGTGCTGCTGCTGCTGATGATGTACCTGGAGCAACCACTGGCACTATGTAACCAGCAGCTGCTGCGTCCTGTAGCGACATGGCTGCATACACTGCAGGACCTGCTGTTGCCGTCGCAGCCATTGCTGCTGCTGCTGCTGCTGCTTGGCCGTTGGCGGCGGAGGTGGCTGAATGCGCTTGCATGTAGCCGGTTGGTACAACTGTGGACCCGGGGTGCATTGGAGACGCATACGCTACAGATCCACCACCAGGGGTGCATTGGGTCACGGTAGCAGCTTGTTGATACTGCATGACCGGCGCTGCTGCTGTCTGTGTGAGAAGTGAACTCTCCGTACCACAGGCACCGACAACAGCTGTTGCTGGAACCTGGACGGGCATACCTGCGGACGCCGCCGCTGCTGCTGCTGCCATGTTATGGTCATAGTCCACTGGCATACCGTTAGCATCCACAAACACTACAGATTGCTGCTGCTGTGGCTGCTGTGGCTGCTGTGGCTGCTGTGGCGCCTCCCCGGCTGGCAACAATGTGTACACAAGCTCACCGTTTCCATTCTGAACGGCGTACACCGGCTGTCCATTGGCCATGAATTGTGGTCCTGCTGCTGTCACAGCCGCAGGAGGTAGAAGTGTTGGTGGCAGCTGTGGTGGTGGTGGTGGTGGTATCATGGAGACCGCACCTGCTGCAGCAGCAGCGCCGTTGTTGTCCATGGGTAGTGAGCTGGACAGGGTTGTCATCACGTACGCCTCACTGCCGTCACATACGCCCGGCGGTGAGAGCACGCCTAGCGGGCACTGTCCTGACGGCGGTGCGTGGCCGGACTGCTGCTGCCGCTGTGCTGCACCAAGAACGCCGCGTCTGTGATCTCCGCCATTATAGTTACCATGGTGACGAGAACGGTGGTTTCCATGGCGACCATTCCTACGCCCACCACCATTACCGTTGTGATGGTGATGATGGCGGGAATCGCCGTTGCTCTCCGCGCCATTCTCCTGCTTCCAATTGAGAAGCAGCTCGGTCTTATCGTCAAACTTTCGTTTGTAGTTGACGGCTACCTTGACGTACTCCACTGGTGGTTCGTCGCTGGACTCATCCAGGCTTGCACCATTCCCATCGGCCCCATCGCCGGGTTTTCTGCTGCCGTCGGCATTGCTGCTGCCATGGCGACGAGATTGCACGCGCCGCGACGCCAGGTTTGAATCTGCCCACTTGGTGACCAGGTCAACGGTGGATTTGCTGTCGTCCGTTCCGCCGCCTCCGCCGGCACTGCCAGCGCTCTTCTCTGCACCGTCTTGCTCCAGTACATGTCCCGTCACCTCGCTGTAGTCTGTCGACGTGACCTTGGCGGCATGCTGGTGGGGGAAGTCCCCCTTTATCCACAGGGCCACCTTCTCTCCGACCGCCAGCATGGCCATGTGCCTCTTATGGATGGCACTCTGCAGGTGTTACCGTGGACAACCGCCGCACCAAACCATACGCACGCGGGTACACACACATACACAAGCGCACACACAAAGTGCTCGGATGCACGGATACAGAAAACACACACATATACGCACATACACATACACACACACATACACACATAATTATATGTGCACACATATACAAACAATAAGAGGACAGAGACCTAATTAAGTAAGAGACAACCAGCTCCAGTGGTTGTCGCCAGTCACCACTGCTGTCATTCGCACTTTTCGATTTGCCCTATGATGCAAACATTTACGCTTTGCACTGCCGCCAATCACAACTTTTAGATTTGCGCCATGAAGCAGCATTTACACTTTGCTTTGTGGGTATATAAACCTATACTGATCCAGACGTCATGCGAAATTACTGGTCAGTCGGCGACACGCATTTTTCACAAAAATTTGCGTTTCACCTGCTGGGAGAGTATGCGTGCACTCGAGTCTCATCCTGAGCACGTTTTTTTCTTTCTTTTCTCAGCTCCAGTATAGCTGTATTTTTCATTGCAAAGCCGTCCTCGATTGTTGTGTTCGTTGTTCAAACGAAGTGGACATTCAATCATGAAGGCAGAGGACATAGGAGCCTGATTGGAGTTTCTCGTGGCAAAGGACGGCCACACAGAGACACTTTGGGATTTTCTGAATATAAAATACCGTACGCACGATGCTGAGATCGATTTGTGCGATATCAAATTGTTTGTGATCTACCACATCGAGCAGAACGGGATCCAAACACAAGCTTACCGACGGTTAGGCTGCCGACCTGACTGGACAAATGATCCCTGGCTTCACCAGACGCCAGAAGTCGGACACCATGTCCTTTGCCGCGACGTCCATCTCCAAAAAGAACTCCATCTTCGTCGTGAAAAGGCTTGAAATACTCAATATTCAACCGAGATTCGCGGTCTCACCCTTTCTCAGATCGAATCATTTTTTGTTGTAGCAGTTGCAGGGCAGATCCCCGCCACTACTTCAACAGAAGATGGCTCCAAAGCATGCCTGGAACAAGCCATATCGAGGTTGCAAGCCACCCCTCTCAGCACATTTTTTTCGAAATTTCAATGGTTGAAGATATACTATGAAGAGAATTTCAAAAAGTATGTTACGTTGAGCGATCGCTCAACCTACGTCATTCAAACTTTGCAGGATGGTTCAGGCGTACATACTAGGCATGGAACCACAAAAGATGACATCATAGCTGACACACAGAGTCACACACACAGCAGATTCGTGTGCACAGATACTAAATTAGTGGACGTCGTCATCTTCTTCCCGCTGATCTCAAATGTACTATGACGTGCTATTTCGCCTGACGTTTACTTATTGTTGTTTTCTGATGATCGCTTAGTGCGTGAAACTCAGAGTTAAAACACTTTCTCTGTCCTCTTATTGTTTGAACCAGCTCTGCCTCTCGGTATTGAGCACTCTCTTGGGCAGCCTGGAACCTCTCTGTTGTACACACATATACACATAATTATACATACTCAGTAAGACTATGCCTGCAGCTGCAGAAAAAGTGCTCAACATCCAATTTCTAGGGGGGAGCAATGACACATGTCTACAAACAATGGATCACCCGTAGTGTTATGCTACTCTGAGTTTCATTCACTGTGTGCAATGATCAGGCAAACAACATTCACAAAAAATAAATATATACACACACACACACGCGCGCGCACACACACACACGCGCACGCGCACCCGTCTCACGTGAGCGCCCCACCTTGATTTTACAGTCGGGGAAAAGGAAAATCGCATGGCAGAGTGAAACGAAGTTTGTACGGCCTGCACCGCGCGAGAACCTTAGTAAACTAAGGTCACACTTGGCAGGTTTTTGTGTGGAGCTCGTGTCCGCTTGCAGGTAAATTGAGTAGGGATTGACTGCATAACGCGTGATATGGGTACACGATTATTTTTCCGTCTGACCTAGTTGATCTACTACTGGTGCAGGCAGGACATCACTTCCACAAGACCACCACAAAAGGACGAGATGGTGCGGCGCTCTCGTGGTACTCTATGGCACTGCCCGATATATCATATGAGCCAGAGCATGCGAAAAGGGTGCTTACGCTCAAAGTTTGGAAATTGGATTCTTTAGTGCACCACGTCAAAAACTCCAAGTAAAACCCAAGTTACAAGCAGTTTCGTTGGTTGCCGTCTGACAGTCGTGCACATGAAAGTGCAACTTCAAGTGCATTTTTCTCAGTTCAGCGTGCAGTGAGCCAAGCACCCTCTTCGCATGCGCTGGCTCATATACGCAGTATGGGGGATTAGGGTCTAGCGGGACCGATACAAAACTGTTTCCGCCGATCACGTTATGATCTCTCCATCGATACCGACAGTAGGGTTAGAGCCCAACATACTTCGAAGTACTATCGGGCTTGATAGCGGTGCGGCTAGGCTTTTCATCAAGAACAAACCCATGTGTGCTCTAGTCAGCAAGTTTCTCCTCTGTCAACACGGAATGGGGGAGTAAAGACGAAAGCAGCCTCCTCCATGTGACGATGTGTTCCTATGACGCTGCAGACTGGTGTGCAAAATGGTTGGCGCTCTGATCCCCAGTAACCTGTCCCAGTACTACATGGAGAAGGAGTGAGAGGATGTCACCACCTGGCATGCAAAGGGGAAACTGCGGCTCAAAGCTAGGACTAGACTGCAAGTACAGTACTGGCCAAAGAAATCCAAACTCTTGAATAAAATAGCGTTGCCTTACACTCTGTGCACTCTAACGCGGCGCTACTTTATTCATGAGGTTGGATTTCTCTGCGGGCCAGCAATCTATCAACAGTAGACAGCACAACCACGCTGCCAACGCAAAGAGGAAATACCGTCAAGTTTACTATGAGGATCTCAGTGGGTCTTTCACACCACTGGTGTGTTCAACTGACGCGGTGCTGGAAGCTACCAGAATCGACTTGCTGGTCGCCTCGCACTCACATGGGACAAGCCATTTTCAATCGTGATGGCATGGGTGGGAATTCGCACCTAATTCGCTGTGTTCCATGTCACAGTCGAATGTAGCTCAGGGAGTCGTGAAAAAATGGCCTTAAGACTCCCTGATGTAGCTTACTGACTGCTTACTGACTGCTTACTGACTGCTTACTGACTGCTTACTGACTGCTTGCTGACTGCTTACACACTGTACAACTCCATACTGCGAGTGCTTGGGTGCGCGAAAATATGCATGGCCAGCAATCAAGGAAAATCTGGGAGTTGCAATTTTTGGATTCCTCCGAGTTGTTATTTTGGGCTTGGGCCAAGCACAAGGAGAAGCCTTTTGCCAAAAAAACTGTAGAAAATGGTTGTTGTTTGATCCTTTGATGCAATCTTTGTAGCTGATCGAAGTTAGTTGCTGTTTGGAGCAGAAATACTGAAATTGACTAATTACTGTCTGTGCTCCTGTACTCCGGCATGCAGCCTCACTTGCATGTTTTAGCAGCCATTTTGGCCGGAATGGATGCTGCTCTGCTGCCCTTGCTGTGCATTACCTGTGCTCATGGAGCAGCTGAAAAGGACCACTAGTATGTCTTGTTCCCGGTTTGAAAGTGGAGAGACGACGTTCGTGCCTTGAAAAAGGAGTAGAGAGCGACAAAGGTACGTCGGTAGCGGATTTTTGAGTTCTCCTCGTGCATTTTGAATGTAGTAGAACATTCTCAGACCAAAGCCTCAGTCAGTGAATTGTGGACACTGTGCAGTGTACTGTGAAGTTTCCTTGTGGATTTACTACATGTAGGTTCATACCTTTGTCAGTATCGAGATGGTGAAGTGGACCGGATGATTTCCCTCTTCTAGGCTTTGTTCAGCCAAGACTTTGCTTCGCTCTCGCTGAAATGCGATGCTGTGAAGAAGGTCGATTCGCAGAAATATGTTGATTTTCAATGTACGTGATGACATGTGATTGCTGGCTATGGAACATCGCGAATACCCGAGTTTGGGACTCTGGCCTTTAGGGCCGATTTCCACAACGGTACCGTGATTGCCGTGAGTACCCATAGTGATTTGCTCATGTGAGGGGCAGTTTTGGCGAGAGTTCATCCATGGGTCGTGCCGTACCGCGCCGTGGACATTCCGGTGCCTCTGGCCTCTGGGGGGTGGAAATGGCATGCCGTGGTATTCCGTGAGGTCGAATACAGTGTGTAGTAGGTATTTTACTACTTCCTGATAGGAAGTTTTTTCTTTCTTTTGTATTTGTGGTACTAAGTTTTTTCTTGGCTTTTGGCTTTTCGATTGGTTGATTTTGGAGCTTTCTCCAATCATCTCGCCTGCTATTTTCCCTCCAGACCAAAGTCAGAAATTGGTAAAAATGGTGATCTGGCCTGCCGACGGAATGCACGGAACGACTGCGCGCAGGTGTAAATCACTCTCTGCTTCGAGCTCGTACCGTGGGGTACACGTGACCTATCCAAATCGTCAGCACGGCACTCACGGTACCATAGTGGAAATCGGCCCTTAGGATTACCCAAACCCGTTACCTGGTACGACATAATAATTATCAGCACCCAGCTCGTATCCATTTTCCTTTAGTTTTTTTCACCCTGGTCAAGCAATCAAGCATCTACCAAAATTATACCCTTCCTGCTGCTATGTACGCACGCATGCACACACTCATGGACGCACGCACGCATGCACGCACTCATGCACGCACGCATGCACGTACACTTACATGTACACACAAATACGGGCAAGAGAACCTCCATTCGTCTTACCTGCGGGACGAAGACATTCGTGTTGGTGTCAACACGACGAACGTGACCGACCTTCGTTGTCTTGTCGAAGCTCACTACCTCACCGTACAGCGGTCCGATAGCTTGCTCGTCAATGCGCAGCTTGAGGCGGATAGCCCTCGGACACGGCGGTAGCGGGTTCGTTGGCGTCGTCGTAGCACTCTCCTCTGGTGCCGTTGACGGGCGAGAGGTGTTTTTTAGCGGTGCTGGGTCGTCGCACTGGCCCTCTACGACGGGCTCCGGTAGCGAGCTGGAACCAGTCGGCTCAATGCCTTCGATACTGCTCATATTGCTTCGCCGTCTGTAGAACAGATAGCTCTACTCTGCTGCGAAAATAAGAAAATTCTCCTTGCTGCACCCCGCTGGCGTCGTAGCGAGTGGCGTAAATGACCGGTATCACGGAAGACCCGCTGAAGGCTACGACTGCAGAAGCTCTTCGCAACTCGCAGCGCTCTGTCCGACGGTCCAGGGCGATTCAGGAGGAAACATGAGAGGCGGTGCTGAACAACACGCTACTACAAACATGCAGAGCGCAGACTGAAGATAACGACAAGTAGTAGTTGACCAGAAACAATTCGACGTGTTGTCGCCACATTAGCGGTTGCGACGGCTGTTGTTGAGTCCTACGAATGGGTGGAGACAGATTGTAGTGGCCTTCGCTGAACTCGGCGTGGCTTTGATAAAGGAGACGGGGAGAGAAAGCATGAGGGCAGACGCCTAGAGCCGGGCCGCGCACAGCAAGGCGCAACGGCTTTCACCTTGCCAGCTAGCTGCAAAACCTAGCACGCGCATGGTCTTTGCGAGGGAGAGCAGAGAGAACACGAGAACACTCTCTGAACCAGTCGAAAAAGGACGTGCACGCAAGAACTGTATGAACGATTATGTATCTGTAGATCGGCCATATAATGCATACCGTATCCATGATATCTTCCCCAATAAAAATTAATAATGTAGATCTACATCAGTACAGGACATGACCACCACCTCAGTACATGACCATCTTGACCACCTTTTCAAAGGTGGTCAGACCAGTACTACAGACTACAGACTACAGTAGTGAGGTTTTGCATTCCGAATTTCGGTACAGCGTTCTTCGGTCATTTGTCGAACATCAAAATGTCGAACTTTCGCACCAACGTTTGTTTCGGTCATTTGTCGAACATCAAAATGTCGAACTTTCGCACCAACGTTTGTTTTGCAAGTCGAAAATGATGTGTTTTCATTTCGTGAGCCCCAGCATCAGCAACGTCATGTCCCGTGCTCCCTTTCTTGCTGATTCCAACGAACTTTGATCGCCCAAAGAGTCGAGGGCCAAGCCTGCCTCCTCAGTCGCCTCAGAAAAACCAACTCCATCGCCAAGTCAAATTTTATGCGTGTCGCCATAGTCTTTTCAGCCACACAGATGACGATGAGGACACTCCAGGCGAAAGAGAGTAGACAGGCAGTGGAGAGGAGCAATCAGAGGTAGCTGACGATGCTATGTCGCCAAAGACACCTGCCAAGCGATGCCGAGATAAGAAACCTCTTTGAATAAATCACGCGCTAGCGCTCTTCTACAAGAAAATGCATCCGAAAAATATTTTCGGCAAAGTGAGCTTTTTCCGAACAAACACGCCGAATCTTCGTTTGCATTTTCGACCTCGCTCCCCCGTGCCGAATCTTTTTGCCGAATTTCGGAATGCAAAATCTCACTACTAAGTACTAGTGAGGTTTTTCACATTCTTTGCGATGTGAGTGCACCGCTCAGGGCCCAGGGGTCGGGATTTCAGTTGCCAGAACTGGAGACGTGTACAGTGTACTTTTATTGTTTCTGGAAAGATTGATTGCCTGGGTGGCAAAAAACCTGTGATAATGATACTGTCAGGCTGTAAATACACTGATCCAACCATGGCCCACCATGGTTGGATCAGTGTACAAAGGCACAATGACGATGAACGGGTAAGAAAAACGAAGTAAGGTGGACCCTGGTATCTGTACCCCACTAATGCCCATCACATCATTCCGGCATGTACTATTATTAGAGACGTGTCCTTTTATATGCTTGAATGATCCACACTCAACATGTACTACAATTGGAGACGTTCTAGTTTAAGGTGGCAGACTACCCAAAAATTCGCTGAAAAATCGAATTTGTAAATTCATATTGAGTGCTACGTCAGTTGAAAGAGCATGAATAGCTGCAAATTCTCTGAAAATTGTGTCCCTATCTGACCAGCCGTTCAAGAGTTATGCCGAAAATGTGCCCTTGCAAGGAAAGATTTTTTTGTTGCATGCTGTCATTTGTTGGCAGCACTGTATTTGAATGTGAGCAGACCGTGCGCAACTTGTCGTATTATGGAAACACGCGAAAGTGTGCAGAATTTTGCCCCAAGTCCAAAAAAGTCCAAAAAATCACGTTAAAAAACCACGTATTGGGCTGCACGGCGGCGGGCGAAGCCCGCCGCCGTGCAGCAGGACTTTTGCCAGCACCCTCGTGACGTTGCAGATATGTGGCTTGATTATTGTAGTTGACGTTGATTTAGTGACTTTGGCAAGTTAGTTTGAGTCGTGTCAAGAAGTCAGGTAGGATTCAGTACTACTAGGCAGTAGTGAAACGTGAGTGGCAGTCTTTGCCGGTTTCTGAGGGCATCCTGGATTTGGTGTGCAGCGCTGTGGAAATGGCTTGCTGTGGAGGTCCCAGCACTGGATGTTGTATCAAAGGTACGACCTCGTAGCACGTGCTAAACCTAAAAAAATTCAAAAATTGACTTGGGCCTGTGGGAGTCCGCGAGAGAACGCCCACTCGTTCCGTTGTGACAGATTCCAGGGCCACGTTGAGGGGCCCTACCCCACCACCCATGGCTGCTTCTGGACTTGTTTTAGGTTTGGATACCGCGCACGGACAGAATGGGCACGAAAATGTGAAAAAAATGTAAATGCATTTGTTTGGCTCCTGGGTGGCTCGCACACCGTGGCACTATGCCGGAAATTTGAGTTTTTCCGGCCTGGAAAGCCTGTCAGTGAGGCGCAAGAACTTGTAAATCATGTCCTGAGGGCCAGCATAGTGGCAGGAGTGTGTGGTCAAAATTTCACTCAAATCCAGTGAGAAACACCAAAGTTACGGTCAATTGAATGCCATATGAAATTTTTGGGTGATGTGCCCCCTTAATGGGGAAAACACGGTAGTTGGTTATTGTACAGCAGTACAGTCGTCCATCTCTAATCCGGCACTTGTTTATCCGGCACCCTTGCAAACCAGCACACTTTCTGGCCAAACCGATTTTTTCAGTTAATTTTCTACGCCGGCACTTGAATTCCGCCTCCAGCAGCGATTTTCTGCAACAAATCACTCAAACTGTACATAATTCGATTTTCTAATCCAGCAGTAGTACATCGCATACCGTCAGGGAGCATTGCAACATACACAACACATGTAACATACACTTGGGAATATCTTATGCCAGTGCATAGGATATTCCCAAGTGTATGTTAAAGACATGTATTCCACAAAGTACTTGGATTGACACAGAAAATCTCTACGTTTTGACGTACGACACAAACATGTACATGTACTTCAAAAGTATGTTAACAGGTGGGCCGGGTTGGAGGGCAGGATTTGATAATCCAGCACCCTTGTTTATCCAGCAGAAAATACCGTTGCAAAAGGTGCCGGATTAGAGAGGGACAACTGTACTACATGTATTGTATTACGTCTGTAGAGTGGTGAGACCCGGGTTTCGCCACTCCCTGATTCCACCACCTACATGTAGATCTACACGATGACCGTATGCATATGCAGTCACATCTGTGGACCTACGCCTAGACGACGGCCCAAAACAAGTGAAATCCGGGCCTTGTAGACCCGCACTTTCATTGTTTCAGCACCGCGATGTATCACCAGAACAGTGGGGGCCCTGACTCCCTGAATCCAAGCCCTGCAAGGCGGTCGGTCGCAATCATGCACACAGTTGGTGAACAATCCTGGAATCGCAGGAAGCAAAGCACATTATGTGACAGAACAATTACATGCTGACATAGGGGTGTACGGGTTCGCCAAACACCATGCACAGCACCACACACTTTCCCGCCGGCTGGGTAGCCCTAAGATTGGCGGATCATGCTCAAAACTTCGGCCGATTCAGCTCGAAAAGCAGAGAAATTGGCGGAACCGCACAAAGCTTATACCAGGCACTTCCTTGAAGTCTGTTCCATTCCTTTATCCACATACCAAATTCAAATAAAAACAGAGAGGTTCCAGGCTGTCCAAGAGAGTGCTCAATACCGAGAGGCAGAGCTAGTTCAAACCATAAGAGGACGAAAAGAGTGTTTTAACTCTGAGTTTCACCCACCAAGCGACCATCAGAAAACAGTTACTAAATTCAAAAAATGCATGGCACCTACCTAAGTCCTGAACCTGACCTCAGTCCTGAACCTGACCTCAGTCCTGAACCTGACCTCAGTCCTGACCTCAGTCCTGAACCTGACCTCAGTCCTGAACCTGACCTCAGTCCTGAACCTGACCTCAGTCCTGAACCTGACCTCAGTCCTGAACCTGACCTCAGTCCTGAACCTGACCTCAGTCCTGAACCTGACCTCAGTCCTGAACCTGACCTCAGTCCTGAACCTGACCTCAGTCCTGATTCCTGAACCTGACCTCAGTCCTGAACCTGACCTCAGTCCTGACCTCAGTCCTGAACCTGACCTCAGTCCTGAACCTGACCTCAGTCCTGAACCTGACTTTCTGGATCTTATTGAACTTCGTTTCCTAGGCTAGCTACGGATAGCCACTGATTTCCACTTCAGTTCAAGGCACTGGTGTCTTTCCTGTGCGAGCAGAGAACTGGTAACCAGCATGAGGAGATTGTTTGTTTGTTTGTATTCTGTATTTAGAGTGGGAAGTCCAAAACAGGCCCTAGCCTAATAACAATGGTCCCACTAGTGAGGGAATGCTGTATATCTGTGCATAAGGATCAGTGAGTGTAACAGCAACTAGTAGGGAAAGAAAAAGAGAGAAGAAAAACAACTCAAAACAGGAGTTGCGACTTGCAAAGAGAGAAAATAACGTAAAGAGCAGTGCATACAGCATTTGTAAAAAGGCTTATTTGTCTGGTAAGCAAAAAGGCAAGAGATACCTCCCATACACATGTACATGTGATTTGCGCAAATCACCATGGTGATTAACTCTGGCCTCAGTGTGTCGTCGGTACGGGAAAGAGCCTACAGAAATTAATACACCATATTTATCAACCATAAGGACAGCTGCAGTGGTGTCTTCAACTTCATTCTCCCGAGTCAAGCTCCGTATGAAGACATCCAAGAAGAAGATTGCCTGATGAGTCCAGCGGGGACGAAACGTACGTCGCAATCGAGCTATGTCGTTGCTGTGTCATCATCTATGTGCCATGCGCTACTTGATGTACCAGCCTGCTATGCCGGATACCGCCAGCCATGCATTGACCAGGCGCCAGGCGCGAACTGATGGTGGTGGTGGTGAGAAGGAGAGCTCTGTGCCAGAACTTTGCAGCCTAGAGAGCATGTGTGGGCAGGCGTGTGTTTACCGCCATATTGCCAGGTACTAGGTGTGTCTTTACCACCATATTTATCAACCAGAATTAATACCAGTAGATCTACTACTGCCAGTACTGGTACTATCTAACAATATACATAATACTACTTCGAGTAGTACCGTTCTAGATCAATACAAGGGATTGAGTTGAGTCTTTTACACAACGATCTGCCTAGAGTTTCTTTGGATTAGACTATTTCAAATTTTCATTTTCATTTCATCGCCGAGTTTCATCCCTTGTATCTTTGGTGTTCTTCCTTCTTTCCATGTCGTATTGTTTGAATAAACCCGTTTTGAGAGTAGATCAAGAATAGCAACTGCATTTTTTTGTAGTATCGGCATATGTTGCATTTGCAAGACATGGAGATTGCTGTTCAGAACTTGAGACAGTCTGCCTAAACGTCAATACTCTTTGGCCAGTTCCGCAATCCACACGTACATGTATGATGTCTGGTGGTGGTCTTGTGCACGACTTACTGCATTTCAATAGCAGTATTAAAGCGCGTACCAAGCTGAATTTTGTTATGCAAAATCTACTGAGACCTGGAGACGCACCCGAGATAGTATGTGTCAGGTGTCCATCAAGTGCTGCCATGACTACAGGATATGCGGGGGAGTTCCCTCTTTCTCTCCCTCCCCAACTCTCTCTCTCTCTTTCTCTCTCTCTCTCTCTCTCTCTCTCTCTCTCTCTCTCTCTCTTGTGCGCGTGCATACGCACGCACACACGCACACACACACACACACACACACACACACACACACACACACACACACACACACACACACACACACACACACACACATATACATACTGTAGTTGCATCCGATTGCACATTTTCTTGTGCGAAGATACAATGGTGAAAGCGGACGGTAAGTACTATAGTCCTGATTTAAAAAAAATGTTTCCTAAGAAACTCTTCAACTCCACTCAGAGTCCGTTCGGCAAATGTAGGTGTTAACAAGTGGAAGATATTTCTTTACATTTTTGGGTGGTCCCTTGCAACCACCCAATATCTCTTTACACAGAATGTGCATGTGTGTACGAACAATGTGCATGTGTGTGTATGTATGTGTGCGTGGGCGTGTGTGGGCGTGCATGGGTGTGCGTTGACTACAAGCAGTCACATGATCTGTTTTCGTGTTGACTACTGTATAAGTACAAATTAATTTTCGTTTGGAATTAAATTTCGCTATATTCGTTAGGGGCACGAAATAACTACTAAAAGTTTGTACAAAACTAAAGTTTTTTTCTGAACGTTCGGGGTGACAGACCTCGACCAAAAACGAAATTTAGTACGTAACAAGCCTGCTGGTGGAATGATCTAATGAAAGATTTCGTGAGCGAAAATTTGTCCTTATAAGTCCAATAGTCTGTGCGGTCATATGATCTCCCCCAGTCCATAGGGTCTCTCCTGCTTGAAGAAATCGGGCAAGTTGTAGTAGAACTGATTATACTTGGCGTCACGACAAAGACCACGTATAAGACGCTTCTCACGCTTGGTCAACACCCGCCCCGTCAGCTCAACGGCCCTCTCCAGATAGGCCTCGATGTCTGGATCTTGTATTTCGTCGTTGTTCAGCAGTTCCTCCTGTTCCTGTATCTCGGCTATCTGAACGCTGGACTCTTTACGGGCAATGTTCAACACATCGGCGAAACTCTCGCAAGCGGCGTACGGACGTTTGTCAGCCGCCTCGCCCGCCGCGTTGCCATCCCACTCGGCCTCGAATCTCTCCCGGCACATTCTCTTCACCCAGTCCATGTGGTTAGCGCCGTGGATCATTTTCCGACCGTGTTTACCCCCATCGTCCTTCAAGCCGGCGACTGCAGCTGCCTCTGCCGCCGCCGCAGCTGCCGCCGCCGCATCGTGTGATTCCTTTAAGCTCTCGTACAGCTGGTCCTCAACGTCGATATGATTGTCGTCGTGCTGCGGGAGGATGATGTCGTCATCGCTCTGCTTGAAGATCCTGGCCTTGATGGCCTTGATCTGGCTGGCCTGGCGCAGCAGCTGCTGGTGTGCCTCATGGTGGATGGTCGCATGGTCATGCGCCGTGTGGTGAACACGCACCGCACGCTGACGGAAACACATGTTCTGCCCATCCAGAGGTTTATCGCGAGTTTGCGACGATTCCAGGGTTCTCCTTCCCTGCCGATTCACGTTGCTGCAGCGCAGGTTACTCTTCCAGAATGGTTCTTGTTCCGGCGCGACGGCAGATGCAGAATTCGTATCAGCCGGACCAGGCCTGGGTTTCCGTTGAGCTTTGGCGTGCTTGGGGCTGGCACCGATTTCAGGTTTGCGCTGTTGTGTGGGCACCTTGTACCCGCGTTTGGACCAAGCATCCGGCATGGCGCCCCCGTCCTCATAGTAATCATCAAAGTCATCACTGCAGCTGATGCTAGAGATATCGTCATCCAGCATCGGCGACAGTTCCAGATCCGCCATTATTGGCATGGCCCTGGGAGCGAGCAGTGTGTCGGTCTTCAGGTCTATGCTTGGCAGAGTGAAGCCCTGCCTGGCACCGTCAACATGTGCTGCGGCCTGCGACTGTTTCCCGTCTTTCTGAGAATCTCGGGTGCTTTGAGAGGATTGAGCTGGATCGGAGCAGACAGATGTGTTGAAAAAGTTGGGCACATAGAAAGGCAGGTGCGTTGTGCAACCGAGCACACATCCATTCACCGGCAAGCCAATGTACATACATGAATAGATATGCACACATGCATGTAAGTTCGTGCATGTGAGTTTTCACTTTTGCGCATGTTTCCACGGGCACTTAAAAGAGCACGAAGCGTGCACGTGGTTTTCTACCGTGTGTGGATGCAGCCCAGTGGATATCCACATTCGCTATATTTGCCACATCACCCCATCATGGGTGGACGTACAGGGATAACTGTGTTTCCACTACTCCGCTTCATACATGAAGCTAGTGTGAAACTCGGACTTACGAAATCGCAACTGCTCGTTCTTCTGTCTGTGTATCCTGCTCTTTGCCTTCGGCAAATTGAGCCCTCTACGGACGGTGGATGAACTTTACATGGTACCGTATTTTCCGGGGTATAAGCCGCACCTTTATTCGCTAAAAATCGGACCAAAATCGCCCCCTGCGGCTTATACACCGAATATGCTTGCGCGAATGAATGCTTAGCATACATCAGTATGCATGCTGACGTCATGTGACATGCCATTCGACTCAGCTTCGCGCCTGTGTTGCTGATCAACATCAGTGGCAGCGAGACTGAAGATAGTGCAGATGACATGGAGTGATCTGTAGTCAACACAGCAATACACCAACATCTCTGCAGCAACCTGTGGTGCACTAACACTTCATAATCTGATCTAACATGGTATTTAGCTCCATAACCATAATAAATTTGTAGAAAGGCCATTGTCAATGAGTGTGAAAAATCTTGGTTTGTGGGTGCGGCTTATTCTCCGAATACCAACTTTTAGTCAATATTTTGCCTCAAAAAGGGGGGTGCGGCTTATACCCCGGAAAATACGGTACATGAAACTATGGTATACCAAGAGACAGGGTGGAGTGGAGGGGAGGGGTGGGAATGCAATCACGGAAACTATGAACTCACCAAAGTTCTTCCGTCTAGCCTGAGCCTTGGTTGATGGTCTGTGATGACTATTGGTCGTGTGCTGCAGTGATTGCTTGGTATCCTGCGGATGGTTGATTGAATCAGCTAGCTTCTTGGAGTAGTCCGACAGAGTGCTCCCATGTCGAGACAAAGCTGTGCTATCACCATAGTTGTGCGCTTGGTGCGGTTGATTCAAGTCAGATGCGTCTTCTACAACGATTTGTTTCCAGCGTGGGAACGGTGTCTGCGCCAGTGAGGAGGCTTTAGCACTTTGACACTGCATTGGTCTAGGCTTCCTGGTGGTGGCTGCGCGGCCGCGGGATTTCTCCTTCTTCTCGACATTAGTTGGCGGCTCAGGTTCAGGATACCTGGGTCTGTCGTACTCGGCCAGGTCATCAGGGAATATAACCCGTGTCATAGCATGCTTGTAGACCGGTTCGTACCAGATATTCTTCTGTCTAACGTAGCGAGGTCTGCGGAGTTCTGCGAGTCTTTGACGGTGCTCCACCAGGAAACTCACCGTCTCCCTTTTCAGATTCTTTTTTTCCGTTGCGCTCAGGTAGTTGAGCTTGCCGTGGAAATCCTCTTTGCCGAGCAGAATCTTTTCCCGTAGCTCTGCGATCTTCTCCTGCACGTCCTCCCGGTCAGCCGCGCTGAGCTTGCCCTTGCACATGACGCGGATCTCTTCAAGGCGCTCTCGCAGAAAACCAAGTGCCTTATCCAGCTCCGCCTCAGCCCGTGCAATTTCGCCCTGATCTGGCAGAGGTGCTGCTTCCGCTGGTGGGGGTTTTGCCTTTCGCGCGAGCCTGGATTTTATGCGGCGTCGTTGTTCTTGGTCTTGTTGTTGTTGCTGAAGGCGTATATGTGGCAGAAGTACAGCTTCTGGGGATTCGGGCAGGTCTTCAGATTTGCGATGTGGCTGATACCGTTCAATAAACTCTAACTCCTTGTCCGAGAGCTTCTTGCGTCGCGTTGTGGGACGCCTGGGTATGCCCGGAAAGTCTTTGTTTTCCTCTGCGTAGGGGTCAATACCGGTGGGTGATGATACCATCGGGGGCTCATAACGCGCTGATGTTGATGATGGCACCGGCTTTGGTGCATGACTGGGTGATGATGATGATACTGCGACATGGTTAGGTGATTTCAACGATGATGTCACTGTAGCATGGGGTGATGTCATTGATGACGTAACTGGGTGATGGGATGATGTCACGGCACGATGGGTTGATGTCGGTAGCGGTGTTGTAATTGCTGCAGGGTGGGGTGATTTTGATGATGATGTCATAACTGAGTGGCGGGGTGATGTCGTCGCGGCGGCATGATGGGGTGATACCGATGATGACAATTTTGTGTGATGTCGTGATGCCATTGCTGCATAACGGGGCCGTGCGGATGTTGATGCCATTGATGCATGACGGGTAGATACCGATGCGGATTCCATTGCCGTGTGACGGGATGATGTCGATGGTGATGTTATTATCGCTTGACGGAGTGATGTCGGTGCTGACGGAACGGCCGTGTGGCGAGGTGATATTGATGGTGATGCCGTCGCGACGGCATGGTGAGGTAATACTGCTGATGACAATGCTGTGTGATGATGTGGTGATGTCATTGCTGAGTGTCGGCCTGTTGCCGATGCTGACGGCACAGCCATGTGATGGGATGATACCGATGTTGATACTATTGCCGTATGATGGGGTGATGCCGATGTTGATGGAACAGCCGAGTGACGGGGTAATGCCGATGTTGATGGCACAGCCGAGTGACGCGGTGATGCCGATGTTGATGGCACAGCCGTGTGATGGGATGATGCCGATGTTGATGGCACAGCCGATTGCTGGGGTGATGCCGATGCTGATTCCATTGCTGTGTGACGGGGTGATGCCAATGTTGATTTCATTGCCATAATACGAGGTGATATCGAGGGTGATGTCATTGCTACTAGCGGGTCGATACTGATCAACTGCAGCAACACAGAGCACCAGTATGACGTCACAGTGGGAGTATCAGTTACTGCATGTATGGAAGTAAACATATTTTATGCCAATCAATAGTTATGACTTTTGAGAGTCGTTTTTCGTTGAAAACCAATTTCTGTGACTCTAGATGGGTCAGAAAGGTGCCCGTAGATGAATGTACGCCGAATAAGGGGTGTCCGGGTTTGAGGTGTTTTACTGCACCTCACAGTACACAAAGCATGTACCCTGGGGTAAAGATAGACTATCCAATCACTCATCACCAGAACCAGCCTACACTGCACTACTGTTGGGTGACAAAGAACGGAGGTCAGCCTCCTAGCCTAGGTCAGCCTCCTACTAGCCTAGGTCAGCCTCCTAGCCTAGGTCAGCCTACTAGCCTAGACCGTTCTTATTTTCATGCATTACAGTCTATGCACAGTTGTGTCACCGTGTATACACTGGTATGCTGTGCTTGGTGAAATTCTAGGCTGCTGTTCTTCAGCGCTCCCTTCTTCAGCACAGGACGGTAGTGTATGATGGTTATGCGGTAAACCGTGATGGTAATACAGTGTTGGAATCCCATCCCCAAGGATGCATTGCCGGGATGTTCAAAGCCTAGCAAACCCTACAGAACTCAGTCTTGTTGCGGCGCCGGCGGTACAGGCAGCCATGTACATCTAACTACCGAGTGTTACTGTAATGGAAGCTGTTAACTGCAATACCTGTACTCAACTGTCAAGAACTAACAAGACACTCAGACGAACTAAGAACAGGCTATGGTGAACGAAGCCGATGGATGAGCTACGGTTGCCTACCTTGTCTGGGTCGTTGACAGCGATCTCAAGTCCTAGAATTCTCACAAATTCCACAGTCCACACTCCACAGTCAGTCACAGGTTACAGAACGCACAATCTAGATCTTACCAGACTAGACGGCGGGGGACAACAATGAGCAGCTGATTGCAACTGACAGCGGTAGCCTGACAAATCCAAGCAACCAACAATTCCTCGGCTGATCCAGCCTTTTTGCTATACAATGTTTAGCCAGTCTGCAGCACAACCCTGAACAGTCCAGTACTGTAATGCCTATCTCAGTATCACTAGCCTATCTCCTGCCGCTGAATCCAGGCCAGGGCTAGCGCTGGACGACGTGTAACCAGTTGTTACTGTTCTGTCTCTTCACTTGCATCAACACACAATGACTGTGTAGCCATACTGTACTGGGTCATAACATATGCTACAAAATAATTGCCGTCAAATCCAACATTCCAAGTCAAGACAGTACAAGTAGACGCAGTACTTGCTGGACTGTGGACACTGTGCTTGTATGCCGTGGCTTTTTAGTTTTAGATCTACATATGTACATGACATTGTAATTATTTGTACACGTTGTTATTGATGCACATGCGCATACGCAGCGCATCCTGTGTGCATTGTGCTGCGCATATGACCTGACTGCATTGGTGCGTGACCGCAAAGCTGATGCTGTGACGTCTCCCCACGCACACGCAAACACACGCACTGCATGCAGCGGCACACGTACTGTGACGTAGATCTACGTACGTACATGTACATAACACATCATGTCATCACGCACATTCTTGAGCACATCTCGTGCTAACAGTAACACTGTGAAACAATTCATAATGTGTGTGTATGTTTGATAATAATGATGATCAGTTAGCTCTGATCTGAATCACGCAACGCAACGCCGAAGTTAGTGTGCACGCACGCAATAAGCAACAAGGAACGTGTACCAAAGCAGCATGTACGTGTGCAACCGGTCACCAGGGAGTCGTCGAGTATTAAATTTTGACCACTAGGCACTAGCTCCCTGTGTCGCACAGTGAGTGTGTGTCATTATCATGACTAGTATTAGATTAGTAACCAGCCATTTGCATGCCACTAGTGACTGTAACTACAATCATGTAAGTACATTACAGATAAACCTTGTTTTATTGAAAGTTTTTGAAACATGTTGTTGGTTGACAGCATGTAAGAAGGGGAGACAACCGTGTTGGGAAACAGTGACCTTACTACAACCATCCTCGGTTGGTGCAACCCTGGTCTTTACAACCATCTGATCAACCGTATGAGTGTTATTATAATTATTAGACTCGGGTCTGACACTGCTTGTTCTAAGGGTGATGTTAGTTTTCTTGTTGTTGTACCGTCAGTCGTGTATTCGTTGTTCGCTCCTGGATGTCTTCTTCATTCTCAGTCCTCATACAACAAGAAAACTAAGACAACTAACTCCCCTAGACTAAGGAGGGTCAGAACCGGGTCTAACACCGATACGCCGGTTCAGGTGGTCGTAAAGACCGGGGTCCGGGGCTCTATCAACCGTGGATGGTTGTAGTAAGGTCACTAGTGCACTGACTCTGAACACGGTGGCCTCCACCTAGCCCAGTTATCAGTGAGTCAGCAGCATTTTTGCGTGGTCTCAGGCTAGGCTCAGCTTGTGACGTGAGTGAACTCACTGATCTGTTACTAGTGTTAGTGTTACTTGTGACTGTTCACAGCATAAATGCATAGTGCCAAAAGTAGCAATGCGGCAAGCGCAAGCGTCGCCCGTTTGATGACTTGTGTTTGTGTGTCGGTTTTCTACCTACTAGTCTGGACAGGCCCGTGCCCTGACTCATTATGACTTATGACTTGTTATGACTGGTCAACGTTTGATAAAATGCGTTATTCTCTTTTGATTGAGTGTGTTCTTGTCATAAGACATAACTCCTATTAAACAATGCTACAATCGTAGATTCCACTAGGATCCATTATGGGAAATAGGGCCGTCCAGTCCCATGTGGAATCGGGGTTCAATACACGAGGAGTGAAGGCGAAGAATGTGACATTTTGCGGGGAATTTATGGAAAACTGGAGCGATTTCAGGCCAAACACGTACATGTACATGTACATGTACTTCTAAAGTGCATGTAAGTCACGTGCGAAGCCGAATTTCATATTTTTGTAGTTCCGCGAAGTGGATGTAGGCGGTAGGGGTACGTCGGAGAAGGAGAAGTAAGACTACATAACACTCGTAGAGTCGTACCGAGTCACAGTCACACTCAGCACGTGTTGGTACATTTTTTTTACATGGTGCGTCCCACATCAGATCTGCACACCAGTAATATGACTCATCGCTGCCTTGCTGCTTTGTGCCATCAAATGGTGTGTGGTTTTTGTAAAGAAAAAAAAAAAAAAGTTACATGTGTGTGCATCCACGGCACGGACGTACACAGCTCTCAGTTCACAGCTCTTCTCAGTTCACAGTTGCTCCGCAGAGCATTCCACACGAAGATTCAGCCACGTCGCTCACTGCCGCTCTCTTTACTTTTCCTCCTAAAACATTATTATCAGTCTGTATGCAGCTCCAGCCTGTATCTCCGCCGTAGGGGACGTAGACCGCAGAGCATGTGGCGTGAAGCCACCAGTGTGTAAGGTTGCGGAGCACCGCGCGAGTTACTCCACACGTTCCTGATCGTATCTACAAGTCTTGAACACATTCCTCCTGGAAAATTTCATAAATTAGCTTTCAGGCCAGTAGTTTCACGACAAACGATCGCTGTTCCCGTGTCTGTTGTATTATCATTCTGCTCGCTAACCCGAAATGAAGCTGGCCACCACCGTGCCATATTGGATTCCTGCATGCTGTTGGCCGTCGCAGTGTTCAACTCAAACCCGTATTGGAACCGGTAGATGTGTTTTGGCCGTTATTTCCACTACATCGTAGTCAGTGTCGTACTACTGACCCGTGCCACTGTGTACGTGTAGAATAGGTCTGGTTGCTCTGGAGGTGTTTCCTTGAACCGTTCTACTCCATCAGTGATCATTGGTGTTGACTCGCTGAAGTGGTGTGCATGCAGCGGATCGGAGCTCATTCGACTTCCTAGGTTTTGTGCGTTGCTCTCGCATCGCTGGACAAGCTGAGCAGCAGATTCTGGGAGTCTAAACATCGTGGAACATCAATCTGACAGGTAATGTGTGTTCGTGTGTGTGTGTGTGTGTATGTGTGCGTGTGTGTGTGTGTGTGCTTGTGCGTGCAGTTTTCTATGTGTGCGTGTGTCCATGTGTGTACAGTCAACTTCGCTGATAACGACTGCGGATATAACGACAATTCGCGAATAACGACAGAATTTCCATGCCCAGAGCAAAGTCCCATCCAACTGTAACACATATGATGAGACTTCGGGTATAACAACACTTCGCGAATAAGGACACTTTTCTGATGCCCCGCCGGGTGTCGTTATACGCAAAGTTGACTGTATAATGTGTCTTCGTGTTGTGTATGTGTTGTGGGTGTACACGTGTGTACATGTATGTGTGTGTATGTGTGTGTATGTGTGTGTGTATGTGTGTGTGTGTGTGTGTGTGTGTGTGTGTGTGTGTGTGTGTGTACGGGTGTGTGTGTGTGTGTGTGTGTGTGTGTGTGTGTGTGTACGGGTGTGTTTTCTGCATCTTACGCACTCACTGATTAGGAATGCATGCATGCAATGTCAGCAGTAGGGGTGAAACAACTGTAATTTGGACAAAGAACTAAAGCGTTCAAAACGGGTCTTCCAGAGTGGCCATGCTTCTGGGGTGGAGAAATCGAACGGGGCAGGACCAGGAAATTTGGCAGACGACATGACTAGCTGCTACTTCTGACACCATGTAATATTCCTGTGTGAACATCAAGTTAGTTCCTGCACTCCATAGATCAACTTCACTCCACAAGTCCCAGACAACAACTGAAGTTTATTTACACAGAACAAGGAAAGATAAAGATGCACAACCAGGATCCATATATGTACACAGTACGGGAATGTATAGGGGTAACCGATCCCGGAACGGATCGGGTACAACAACGGGACCACAACAACAACTGACTCAAATTCCTTACTGACTAGGTCGTCAATGCTATCAACTGATAGTCAACAGACGATGGACTGACATTGCCCTCATGTATGAGCACAAACACAGCATGTTATTTACTCATCCACAAATGCCAATGCATGTTCACCCAGCCATACACAAGCAGCATAAGCACAACACACACACACACACACACACTGTAGGTATCATAAAACATATCGTTGGAGTTTAGCACCGTTCTTGTACTCGGCTGGGTGTGAAAACAAACTGGATTCTTGTGTCGCGTGTACTTCACAGCACATTGCCTGAACTCACAGGACAATCAAATGAACTACAGACATACATCAGGGCTTCTATACATACTTGATGATTGTGGGTTTTACTTCTATGGACTCAACCTTATCAACTGGCCAGTTGATTTCTCGACTCAGTCGTTTCACCCCTAGTCAGCAGGCAAGAGAGTATTGGAGTATAACTATGCCTGGAACGACGGTATAGGGCTTGAAAGTGATGACGTCAAAACGGCCAGGGAGTAGTAAGTTGACATCAGATTTCTATTTTTGGATCCACTAAGGTGTGACTTTGCTATTGCCTAAGTATGTGGGTGCATAGCAACCCACTCATGTCGCATGCAGGTGTGACTTTTATTTCGCCACCAGTTGTAACCCCGCCCCCAGTAGCCAAACCAGTCAGTTTCACTGGCTACATCACCATGCTGTGGGTAAGACCGCTTGAAATGTGCTTGGATCCATACAAAAACTGGATCCAAGTGGATCCAATTTTTGAATTTTTGAAATTGTTGCTATGCTGTGACGTAGCACTTTCAAGCCCTATTGATCGGAGAATTCCAAAACTACGAAGTAGTGGTTGCGACTTCGGCGATAATTTGTAAGAAAGGGTTTGCTCCCCACACCGGAGCTCGCGCTATTCCGCCGACTTTACTTGACACTTGACTGACTCACGACTGCCATCCAGAGCACACGAGAAGTCCATCGAACCTTCGACTCGGCAAACCTGCAAGAAAGCACCACTCCCTGCTCAATACACAGTGTTTCGGGGAATTCACCCCTCATCAGTTGAGCTTGAGTAGGCTGAGGAAGATTGTGCCTGAAGAGCACCACTTATATAGTGCTCTCCAGGCACAAACATCACCAGGGATACAAACTTACAGAGACGCTCCGTTTCCAGCGCGACAAACACCTCGTGAACACCAGATAGCAGCGTGAGTCAGTGTCGCTCCTGGACGGTGAGACAGACGTCGAGGACCCTCGGATTCGCAACGCTGTCACCTCCAAACCAACTAGTCGCAAGCCCGAGCTCCGGTGTGGGGAGCAAACCCTTTCTTGCAAATTCCAAAACTCATGAATCAAATAGCGCTTGGTGGCACGTAGTCCTGTTCTGTGCACTCAAGCACGGCGCTACTTTATTCATGAGTTCAAAGCCGGTTCTCTGGCCAGTACTGCAAGTTATCCACATTGTGTCTATCTGCATGTGCATGCGCATTTGTGTGCTTTGCGAACATATCTTGTTATTCCCAGGCAGTCGAGTATCAGGTATACAGCACCGACTACCAGCATGGAAAAGAATACACAGGAGCGTACCCCACGCACCAGGGATGTGACACCGGCATATGCGCAGGTCACCAGTAGCGACGACTGCAGTGAGTTTGACGATGACGACGACGACGGCTCACTAGCAAGCGTGGCGAGTCACGTGATGGTGATTCATGACGCGGAGAATGGTTTGGTGTTCAGCACCACCGATGACGTCACTCTGGCCTCTTCACTCTGCTCATCGCTGACTGTGTCGTCGATGACAGTCCCGAGCGACGTCAGCGGTGTTTTCGACACCGACGCCACCACCGGCGGTGGAAAACTCAAACAGCAGACGCAGCCTTCCAGGCAGAAAGTGTATCAGCGCAAGGCCAGACAACCACGCAATTCCAAGTCCACCGCCCACTCGTCAACCGGCTGTGCGTGCAACGAGATGTGTATGTGCATGTCGCGACAAGACATGACGGAGGAGAAGAGACGTGCAGCACAGCAGGCAAGGAGTGGCAGTGCCCACAGCTCTGTGACTTCACTGGGCTCTGCCATTACTCCGCTGAGTACCGGGCAGACGGAGGATAGGGAAACACTGGCTGCACTCCTTCATGATGTCGAGATTCTTCAAGATCCCTACAAGTTCATTACTATAGCTGATATAGACCAACACCAGCAGCAGCAGCAAGACTCATCTAGAGACATAACTCAGTGTAATATTGCAGGATCATATCAGAGGTCTGCAAGGCAACAGCAGCAGCAGCAGCATGGTGTAAGTGCACAAGAAGAGCCCGGCTCAACCAGCACTGAACCGGGTGCTCCAACACAGGATGGTGCAGATCCTGCAGTGCTGGGACAGCTGAGCTCGAAAACACGGTCCAGAGTGGCACCATATGCACTTGCCTGGCTTGCTGCCCTGAACACAGATGCTGTCTACGACCATGCTGAACCGGGGGGTTCTTCCCCTGTGGCCGGTCCACCAAGACCTGAATCGGGGGCATCATCCATCAGAACTGGGGAGTCGTACCCCGGAAGGGGAACATCCTCTCTAGATAAGGGCCTTTCAATCACTGAAGACTCGTCGAACAGCCAGGCCACCCCCAGTTACCGACATGAGGCAGAGACTGCAAGGCTGGTGTGGTCTAGGAAGGTATCACAGGGTAGCAGCTCCAACAAGGCCATTGTGAGCAGCACGAACCCAGATGCGGATAACACCGATACGGGTTTGCAATCTTCAGCTAAACCTGCTGATCATGGTGGCAGTGGACTACAGGAAAACAAGACATCGGGAACCACTAACACTGACAGTCAACCTGCACTATTCCAGAAGAGAGCGTCTCGGAGAAATGTAGCAGGTGTGGATATGGCCCCACGGCAACGGAGTAGGACCCAGTTACCAACGGCTGGTGATACAGAGAGGAGCAGTTCTACTGTAGTGTTGGCAACATCTCCACATTCCGTAGTGCACGGCACGACATCCAGGTCCGGCGCCGAAGAGACACAGAACTGTGAACGGCAGCAGAGGGTAACATCGACATCACCATGTGACAATAATGCAGTCAGCCGGACATGTGTACATGATGGCACAGCACGGCCTACTACTGATGATGACAAACTGGAGATGAATGCATCGAGTGCTGCACCACCTTCAACGAAACATGCCTCTCATACAACTCTACTGAAAGAACAGCGTAGGCAAGAAAGGCCGCAGAGAAAAGAAACTCGTGCTGCCCTGGAAGAGGACCATGCGGGACTTCAGGAAAGCCGGCACAGAACACCTCATCTGAAAAGATCCCAAACAAACAAAACTCGGACTGCACTAAATGCTGAGCAGTCGACTAATAACAAGGACAATAAAGAGGCAACATTTCAGAGGGATACTTCACGAGTAGGGGTAACTGCTAAAGAAGCAAACCCTGATCAGCACAGACCTGTACAGGCAATTGCTGAACAGCCAATCCCTTCTATCTCATATGGAAAAAAGGCAACCAATGAAGAAATTAATGAGGATACTGATAAGCCATCACCACCACCAACACCTGTGCCACCACCGACACCACCACCGCGACCCAATGCGGCACGACGTCGCTCTGTCAAACCTGCCTACTCCATTACCAGGCGCAGGGGCAGCAGCAGCGGCAGCAGGGCAGACACATCAGGCACGTCAGCAGATACAGGGCATGCAGCAGAGCATGACGGTCAAAGACTGAGTGAAGAAATTGAGCCAACAAGAAGCAAAACAGCAGCAGAGCCATCAGCAGTATCAGCAGGGCCATCTACAACAGCCAGTGGACCTGATAACATCATGACATCATCATCAATTGCCATGACATCATCATCAATTGTCATGACATCATCACCTTATGCTATGACACCATCACCTAATGCTACAACATCATCATCACAGCACTGCTCTAAAGCCAAACAAGCAGACTCGTCTAGGTCGCAGTCAAGGAGTTCCACCACTGGCAACCCAAGCTCCACATTGGAGCGGCCTAGACCGTCTGATTGCAGTAGCTCGCCTGACAATCCGTTCAAGACTCCGCCGCAGCAGGATATCACAACACACATGACGAGACTGCAGGACCGGCGAGCACGGAGACAGGCGGCAGTGGACCTGCAATCGCCGGTTGTGTCACCACCTCACTCCGCTGAGCCTGGGTACGGCAAACAGGGCTACCCAGAGGCAGGGGTACTGGATAGATACACTGCTCCTGTTCCCGAGTCGCGGTCTCGCCTGCTGGAAGCATTGAACAACAGGCACAAGTCCACAGAGCACCGAGGTGTTGACCAGGACGGTGTTCCGTACAAGCTAGCCGGCTACAATCGCTGGTCCATGCACAACCTAATGCACAAGGAAGCAGGCAAGGAGAGCTCTCCGTGGAAGGCAACCGCAGGAGATCGCGCACGCGCCGACACCGGACCTGTACAATTTACTCTCGTCGGTGGTCTGCCCGCTAGAGTGAGTACAGTATACCCTAAACTGCAACACGGCCAACAGGAAGACAAAGAGGACGGTGTTGACGAGGAGCTTGCTGACTACTACATGCAACGTAAGCCAATAGCCCGTGACCCATATCTGCAGCACAGACCGCTGCAGAGAGTTAGCGAAGACGAAAAGATAGTCCTAAAGGACACGGCCTCGAAATCGTGTAGACCGTCGACGTTTCAATTCCGGCGCAGACCACTGTCCCCGATCAGACAAGTTGATGAACTAGTCGAAGACGAGGAAGAAGAGGAAGAGGCTGATGAGATGTCGAATACTGACAGCAGGGGCGTGGCAGTGCAGCCTGGCAGCCATCAAGCAAACAACCACGAGCAGCTCCTACAGAAACCATCCACACGTGCCCGTTCCTTACAAGATATCGGTAGGATGGATGCAGTAGATCCAGCGCCATCACCATCGTCATCGCTAGCACCATCACCAGTGGCAGCAACAACAGCAGAGGCAAGCAGACAGAAACAAACCGCAGCCTCTGCTCCAAAGGATCATACTCATACGGCAAACCTGACAACATCTAGGCAAGGTCACAGACAGCGAAGTCATGTGAAAAGAAGAAACTTGCGCCGCCAACACGCTGTCGCCAGTGGTAAAGCCACATCACCTCCCAGCAATCAGGACCAGACAAAAAGCGCCAATGCTGGCAAAACAACCGCCGAGTCTGAGAATACCGAAGCCGCAGCAGAGGAGAAATCCCATCTACTGCCACAAATTGGATTGAAAACTAATGAAGCAGCAATTACTAAGCCGTCTGCTACACCGAAAAGGCCAAAGTTGACTCATCAGCAACGCGTCAATTCGGCTGATTCACCAAGGCAAGACGAGCAATGGCATTCGACCAACAACAAAAAACAGTATGATCCTAAATTGGACTCTGCTGTGGCTACTGGAGCCACCAGCAAAGCCAGTGGGCACAGCGCAGCTACTGGACTTGGCACAGCTACTGAATCCAGTACAGCCACTGGACTTAGTACAGCCACTGAATTCAGTACAGCTCCTGGACTCAGCACAGCTACTGGAACCAGCACGGCCACTGGACCCAGCACGGCCACTGGACCCAGTACAGCCACTGGACCAAACACAGTCACTGAATTCAGTACAGCTACTATACCCAGTACAACCACTTCAGCCAGTACAGCTACTGGAGGCAGCACAGCCGATGGGCACAGCTCAGCTACTGGAGCCAGTACAGCCACTATGCTTGACACAGTCGCCGGACCCAGCACGGTACCTAACCCAATCAGCAACACTAGCAGACCCTGTACGTGTACATGCCACTGTCGTAGTCACATTGATACCAACACCCGGGGACATCGACGGCAGACATCAAGAGAACCGGGGTTGGATGGCTTAGTGTTGCCTTCAACGCCACGTCTCACCAACGATAGACTTTCACAGGGTGTCTTCAACGCGCTAGGCACAACTACAATCCTGTCTATCGATATCAACACTACCAATTATGGCAGCGCCTCTGAAAACGGTGACAACAGTGGTGGTAACTATAGCAACGAAAATGGTGGAAACCATGGAACCAACAGTGGTAAGAACAGCTCTGGTGATGTCGGCAGTAACTATGGCAACAGTATGGGCAATGAAAGAAGCCATCAAAATCACCATGGTGAGGAGTTGCCAGAGCACAGAGACAAACACCGAGAAGGGTCTGTTTCGCCGCAAGGGCAGAGCCGAGGGTCGGAAGAATTTGTCCTCACCTCCAAACACCAACAGTTGGACACGTGTTCAGGCACAGCGCCTACACATCCTGACAACCAACCAGGACAACAGCTACAATCTCTACCACCACCATCACAACCACTGGTGCGGCCCCGGCGGTCGTCATCACAAGCACAAGAGCAGAGGACAACGTCATCGTACGCCATACGCCAGCTGGACGGAGACGTAGCGGCAACCATAGCCGGTCTTGTTAACGGCACGATCAGGCCAGCTGGTCACATGACAGGTCACGTGACATCACACACAGCAACATGTCACGTGACATCACATACAGCAACAGGTCACGTGACATCACATACAGCAGCAGGTCACGTGACATCACATACAGCAGCAGGTTTTGTGACATCACATTCAGGGACAGGTCATGTGACATCATATACAGCAGGGAGTCATATGACAGGAAACCAAGACCAGCACCGGGTATTACCTAGATGGGACGGCGGCGACGGTGGTAGCGAGCAGTTTGGTTCCGCCTTGGTGGAACAGGGTTGCGAGGCAATACCACACCAGCGGAACAAAGAGCCGATGACGACTACCTCCATGAAGATAATGCAACGTGAACTACGTGTTCGCCACACTATTTCCTACCCCAGGCCAACTACAGAGCAGACTGGAGCATCGCAAGGCGCACGAAAGCAACTCAAGCGGCCCAACCATCCCACGTGGAGACCAACGGGACCAGCCTCTCGCATTCAGAATACCCCCAATGTTCCACACAGACCTGCCACTACCACGCAGAGTAAATCCTCGGCAACACGCAAGCCGGCTACTGCCCCATCTCGTGACCGCAGCACTACTAAACCAACTGTGCAGCCAGCAACCAGAGCAAAGACAACGAAACCGAGAATTCAGCCGACCGCCACCGGAGGTGCTGCTCGTATGTCCACGCGTAAACCCAACGCCGACAGAAACCCCGCTAGAAGCTCTCTAACCCAGGTGACTGGCCGCGGTGATCGGGTCATGCACACGGCATGGAGCAGCAATGGTGCTCAGGGTGCTAGCACACGGCTTGCTCTAAGACAGTCGTCAGTAGCACCGCACGCAATGACTAGCACAGCTCACAGTAACAAGAATCTAAAACAGGAGACGAAAGCAATTCACTCTGCCACCGCCGCTGCCACCACCACCACCGCCGCCGCCGCCGGGAAGAAAAGACGAAAGAAGAATGCTACTTCAAGTGGGAGGAAGAAGGTAGCAGGTGAACTACTACCGTGGTCATCGGACGAGGAGATTAAAGAATTGACAGCTGGTCAGGAAGCAGACCATACACCCAGTGCTGACCTCACACCCAGTCTTGAAGATCATCCCTATCGCAATTCTGATCCTGAACGACTGGTATCGTCAGAAGATGACATCGCCGACGGCCAACCAGAGAGCGTTAGCGAACGGCATAACAAGACCCTGGCGAAGCAGCAAGAGATGCTTGCACGTAACCGTGAGTCTAGACCCAAACATCCACCGTCTAGCTTCCCAAAGTATCCGAAACCGGAGATCTACGGCATAATCAAACCAGAACTGACCGAAGGACCGTTCAAATCCATCAACGAGCAGCTATTCGGTAAGCCTCCTCCGCCAGTAGCACGAACCAGGCGGAAGACGACGCAAGCGGAAAAGAAGAAGACGGCCGAAGAACGGCTGGCTGAAATGTATTGGAGGCTACGCGAGCGGCAGGATCGGCGACAAGAGGCTGAACTAGAAGCTCAAGACTATCAAACAGTTCAACACAGCACTCCCGTGAAGGTAAATCCAAGCAAGCCGCACTTGCATGCTACCATAACACAGCAGGATGTCACAAGAAACTCCAAACCGGTACCAGGCAAGCATGAGTCGATGGCTGCCGGTGGTTTTGCTCGCTCTAGTGCACGGCAGCAGGAAAGCAAAGGAGAATGGGAGATCGTGGAACCCATCTCCAAGTCAGCACCCACCTACACACACCACGCCACTAGGTTGCCCCCGGTTCTCCAATCCGGAGATGTCCCCTTGATCCCGTGTCTGCACACGTCACCGCTACGACTAAAACCGTACAGATCGCCGCAAGACAGACCCGACCGGAAGCCGTTCATCATGCAGAAGCTACAAGAGGACGCCGTGCCCTCGTCCCCAGAACCCGACACAGAAGGACATTGTCATGACAAAGATGGCCGCCACCACGCCTCCGTTCGACCGGCCACAGCACTGGAGGCGTTGTTCCGGGAAAACCTTGACAGAATGGAGAACATTGAGAAACTGAAGGCAGAGTGCGAGCAGAGCCGAAGATACCTGCAGTCTTGTCGTGGCAACGTGCCAGAACCTGGCAACCCAGAAAAATCACCGTCATGGCAACGAGAGCAACAGCAAAAACGTGATGATGTACGCTACTGTCGCGCGTACCTGGACGTGAAGTCGGGAGAGGAAAATGATGAGGAAAGAGAGTTGGCAATGTATCAACGTATGATTACGCTGAGAAGACGTGTCGATGCCAGCCTTTCCAGAATAGTGGCGCCACCGCCATCCCGCCACCATCACCATGGTAACCAGAACCCGGGTTACTCAAGAGCTTACAGACGAGGCTGAGGCCGCACTCTGGGGAGTGCCCAGGGTGGTATTCCCCGACCTGGGGGCAACCCCGAATATGGTACTGTGCTAATCTCTTCTTGTCTTGACTTGTGTCATGACCAGCGACAGTATTGTTAGAGCTTTGAAACACAATCACATGCACATGCGTATGCACACACACACACACACACACACACACACCACACACCCACACCCACACACACACACACACACACACACACACACCACACACACACACACACACACACATGCATGCACACACACCATGTACCACACACACACACACACACACACACACACACACACACACACACCACACACACACACACACACACACACACACACACACACATGCATGCATGCACACACACACCATGTACCACACCCACAACATCACACACACACACACACACACACACACACACACACACACACACACACACACGCATACCATGTACCATGGACACACGCATCGTACGACAATGTGATCAACGAAACTCAGTCAAGCTTGAATTGTGACCCTGTGGTAATAATGATAATGAGCTGCCAATGAACACATTTTGGCCGTTCTCGAACAGAAATATTTTGCTGTGATCAAACTTTGGCCGATTGGTGTTCAATCTTGCAGCATTGCACTCCATGGCAAACTGTGGCCTGTGATATACTAGTACTTTGGTCGGTTGGCACCAAGCGGCGAAATCAGCGAGATTAAATCGCCAGCGAAAGTTAGTTGATTTACGATAGTAATAGTGACAAGGTCACTAGGTGTTTAACACATGCCGAACGGCGATGGCTGCTTTCAAGAAGACTTCAACAACGTTTGCACGCTTTGTGATTACTCAGTACTTCATCGGGGACAGCAGCTGACAAACCTGCACCAATGAAATCCTCTTTGTACTTGGCAGATTTTCCGCTGCAGATAAAAGACCTCTTCCTCGAAGTTTTGGCACCGGGAGCCCTCGGTAATCTCTTCGAGCACCCCTGCTGATTCATTGCAGGAACTAGTGCCACCCCCTTCGTTTGAATCGCTGCTGGACACCTCCTCTGCCTGTTGCAGCCATCCTCGGAAATGGCCACCCAAATGTCGAGAAACTCACAGCTTGAATCTGTGAACAATAAAATAACTCTACATGTGCTCTACATGTGCTCTACATGTGCGGCCTGCAGTTCTAATGCCAACAGAAATTGTGCTTGGATCTGTTCTGCATTCGGAGCTCGCAGACGCTATCCTCGATCGAGCTCACTTGCGTAAACAAGCAGAACAATCCAGGCCACCGTGGAAGATCATTTATTTTCAGGGCAACCATAACCATGACAACAGAGATTCTGCAAGATTCCGTGACCATGGTGACCGGTACTGCGCGGCGGGAGCGTACATCTACTATGTCTACGGGGTTACATGGTTCCGTTTCTTGCGATTTATCTTTCGTTCCGCGATTTTGTAATTTTGTGCATTTCTCAAGCTTCTGCGCGGCAACATTATAATTATTTACAGGATGTAGCCTTTATCATTGTCTGCTACGTAGAGTAGACTCTAAAGTCTACGGGCCCGGGGCATCGTTTTGTTTGCCTTTGCCGCTTTGGCCAAGGGATGACGAACAAGTACGTGGGGCAGAAAGTTTTCAGTTCTGGAGAAGTGACACTGCTACTTTCTCTCCCAAAACGCAGGTTTGTGCGGGTGCACTGCCATCATTATAATATCGAAAATGTGCGAAAAATGCTACTTTTAGTGCTAGCATTACCGGTATCTGCCGATGCGTAACCAGTACCAACATTTCACCAGCCACACTCCACGATACTGTCGATAGCTAGAAGTAACAGTTCTTCTTAGCAGCCTAGTATTGCTCCGGTATGATGACGGGAACTCATAGGAGGAGATGCAGATACCAAAAATTAATAATGAAATTGGTAGAAAGAAATATTAACTGGTTTGAGGGAAAGAGACACGAAATGGTCATGTTTTAAAGAAGATACTGGCGCAGTGTGCCTACACTGAACTAACTCTCACATGTGACAAATCAACAGGAATGAAGCACTGTGGAATCAACAGGAATGAAGCACTGTGGAATCAACACTGGAATGAAGTACTGTGGAAAGGAGGTTTTATGAACCCTACCGACATACATGTAACTAATACGAGTGCTCAGTCAACCACGAGGGCCACGAGGGCCACGAGGGGAAAGAGAGTCACACCGAAAAGGTAGCGCTAAAAACTACACGTCACAAAGAGCACCGAAGTGGTGACAAAGATGGGCGCAAAGACAAAATAAGTGCATGTACATGCACATGTACGTGTACGTGTAGAAGCCGAGTGACAGCCAACAAAATCATTTCCGACGTCTAATGTGACACTTGAACGTTGCCAACTGCACAAGACAAAATTAATAGTAATACTTCACGAATCACGAAAGCTTTTATTAAAATTAGCTGTTGGTACATGTCTGTACATGTACACTGTAGGTAAAAAGTTACAAATTAGTACCAGTGGTACCTTAAAACGTACTGTAGCAGAAATACAATTTTAAATACAGATGATGGAGAGTTTACGCTTCACTTTTTTTCAATTTCGAACGTGAGAAAAGATTGCATTGAATTGCTTTTTTCAACGGGAGTTGGCCTTCTGTCGCGTTGAAATCTCATATTGCAACGTGAGGAGCACCATTTTGGCCGTGATCTACATTGTAACGCTCGAAATTGAAAAAACCGTGAACCGTAAAATCTCTAATATACAATATACACAAAGTGTCTGTAGTCTTCGCTGCAAACAATGCTCAATAGAGTCAATACCTCAAAAAGGGGCAGAGCTTACCACACGGGGTAGAACAACAGAGACCAAAAATCCTTCACGTAACTCCGAGTTTCGTGTTTCAAAACCACGTCTGATGAGTGTTTTTGAAACATGAAACTCGGAGTTACGTGAAGGATTTTTGGTCTCTGTTGTTCTGCCCCGTGTAATATACATGTACAATATACAATGTACATGTAGGAGCAGGCGGACAGAAGTCACAGAACACTTTTACATGTTCACTGTATGCACACTGTCACTAGCCCTTTCCCAAAGGTGCTCTTTTAAAATTCGCACTTAGTGCTTTTCGCGTCCCTCAAAATATTATGCTGAAAAGTGCTCTTTTTTCAGTGAAGCGTAGCCATGATACATGTTCAGATATGAACCCAAGCTGAGAAATGAATACGCCCTCTTCCATTTATGGGTCCACGAAAGGCAAAACAGGAAGTAAAGTTAAAAAAACCCACTTTTTACAGCATTCTGTACACCACGTACAAGCTTCACCAACTTGTTGCCCCCCAAAATGCAAAAAATGCGGCGTGCCTAGGCCCGCGCGCCCATCGAGCACTCGGAAACTGTGATCGTATGCATGAGCAAACAGATTTTAGCACTTTTTCAGCTAAAAAAGCTCAAAAAGGGCGATATTCACCAAAAAACGCAATAAAGGGCGGAAGAAACGGGCTTTTCCAAATGGCCAAAAAGGGCGAAAAAAGGGCGAGCTTTGGGAAAGGGCTGACTGTCACTGTACAAACATACTATGCATGAAGTCAGTACACTCATTTTTTACCAGCCTCTTTTACGGGCAAATTAACACAATGGTTTAAATGCAATAAACCATACACTGGAGAAGAAATCAGAAAACTGCATGTGTAAAATAAAGAATTTCAAACCCAAACCAAAAAATCAAATCATTTTTTAAATAATTAAAATAAACTCAATTCGAAAGGAGAAAAAAATCCAGTACACTCATGCTTTTCAAATGTCATCATGAGAACTTCTGGCCACCATGTAGGCTCCGGCGGATTATGCTCGCGAAATCTTGGAATTATGCTTTCATGGATTCTCGCATTATGCTCGCAAAATCCTCGTAATAGGCTTTGGCACGCGGGGATACATTAGGCCTTGACGGATTATGCTAATATTTTCGTGAAATTATGCTTTTCGCATTGCTGAAAAAATCGCAGAATTATGCTATTTTTATGCTAAAAGTTATCATATTATGCCGCATTATGCTCACATGTACATATGCTGCTGATGATGGTTCTGTGCAAAATACCAGGGGAATTGTTTTGTTGAGGGCGTTGTACTGTAGTAGCAAAAGTTCAATGGGGTCACCGCACCGTCCGGACGCGTCCGACCTAGCTACAACCGTCACTGATTGTAGTGGACTGGACATGTTATCAAGGGAGTCGTAAACCTACGACTTCCTGGTGCATCTACTTCTACTTGTACTTGTAGAACATGTACAACTGTATGGGATTTGATGCGAACAGGCGGATTATTCCAATTTATGCGATTCATATGCAATTTGCCTCGAATTATGCGATTATTCGATTTTGGTAGAAATTATGCGAAAAATTATGCTAGCATAATCCGTCAAGGCCTAGGATACATATCCACTTTGTTGTACTTATGGAGCCTCAAAGTTCGGAAAATTGTGCCTTTTTCGTACTTGCAAGTGGCCATAAGCACAACAAAATACATGAGTATCCCCATACCAAGATGTCCATGCATGCCAGAGATCAACATGGAAAAGAGAAAACATTACTTCTTCTATTCATTAGTTGACTTTTTTTGTAAAAAGATTTTTTCATTGCCAAAAAAGTTTGAGTTTAATACCTTTGAAAATTATCATCACGGTTGAATTGTCTTCGCAATCGTCATACTAGTCCAACCGATGTCAACCTCACCCTGCGATTGATCAGCTCATCTCTCCCGCAGCTCCACCTCTACTTCTATCATGACCGAACATCAACTTTACCTCAATTTGTTTAATTATTAGAACAATATCCATAGCCTGCGCAGTCATGGCTGCTAAAATCCAGAGGTCATGACTTCGTGACATGCGTGATGTACCTTTTTTTTTGCGGACTACCCGTCACTAGGCACCGGCGGATTATGCCGGCATAATTAATTTTGGTGGTTGAAAATTTGGAGCATAATTTGGCATCCTTTCGGAGGTAGGAGCATAACTACATCGGATTGTACTACAGTTCTATGTAGGCTACACAATAGTGTACAATGCACATGAGTAGTGCTGGTGGTCTGTATGGTAAAGGGTTCGGAGGTCATGCAGATAGTGTTTTCAATGAACAGCAGGGTAGAAATCATGGCAATACCGTATTATTGTATGCTCAAACTCGTCTTCTTGTTCTTTCTCACACTGGTACAGTACATGTAGCAGAAGATGCGAGTGAATCAGCCTTGGTCAGGTACCCCGGGGCGAACGAGATAGTGACGGGTAGTCCGCAAAAACATGTACATTACGCATGTCACGAAGTCATGACCGCTCTGGATTTTAGCAGCCATGACTGCGCAGGCTATGGATATTGTACAAATTGAGGTAAAGTTGATGTTCGGTCATGATGGAAGTAGAGGTGGAGCTGCGGGAGAGATGAGCTGATCAATCGCAGGGTGAGGTTGACATCGGTTGGACGAGTATGACGATTGCGAAGACAATTGAACCGTGATGATAATTTTCAAAGGTAACTCAAACTAATTTGGCAATGAAAAATCTTTTTACAAAAGAAGTCAACTAATGAATAGAAGAAGTGATGTTTTCTCTTTTCCATGTTTATCTCTAGCATGCATGGACACTGTGGTATGGTATACTCATGTATTTTGTTGTACTTATGGCCACTTGCAAGTACGAAAAAGGCACAGTTTTCCAAACTTTGAGGCTCCATAAGGACAACAAAG